TTAAAAATATATTAATACATCTATCTAAATAAATTAATTAATTAAAATAAAAATATTTAGTGATCCTTACATGCTCAAAGACACTCTAATTTCGCTCACAACCTGAAACACTACATATCAAACTAAGTAGTTTGATATCAAATTGCAATAAGTTCGGGGTGAAATTTCCAAATAGACTCCACCATTCAATTACAAAATTTATGTTATTATTAGTAATAACATAGTAACATACTATAGATGAAATTAATTATATCAAATTATTAATACCTAGAGATATAGTTATCTTGGATCGAACGACCATTCAGATTCCAAAAAGACCTTCGGTATTTTTATATAAAGATAATTTATGAATAATCTTATCTTGCACCTCAAGCCATAGAACTAATTTTGTAATGCACTGATATAACCCATCCAAAACTTCTACATCAAATCCAATAGATTTAATCTTATAAAATAATTCAAGATTCAAATAATATCCGACGATGAAGTTGACAATTCCATCTTTCATCAATGATTATAAAAATTTTCTCATATTTTTCTTTGTTTTCATTAAAAGACTTTTTAATCATCTCCTTTGCTCTATGCATAACCTCATAAATATTTCTCATTGCAGGTTTATTTTTATTATCTACCAACCAAATGACTCGAACAAGAGAGCTCATTACCTTTAATATATAAACTATATGATTCCAAAAGGATGACATTAAGATGATATCAATAGCGCTCTTGTCTTTTGTTTCTTTTGTCTATTTGCTTGTCACCCATTTCTCAAAGGTAAACATGTTTATCAGATTATGTTTTTAACGATGCACACTATGTAATGTCAAGAATGAAGTAGCAAATCAGGTAACACCATATCTCACTAATTCTTTATTTCCTGTGAATTTTTTCATCATATTCAAAGCCCCAATATGATTATAAAGAAATCAAACAATAAAAATTACACTTTCTAAGGTTTTCTTGATGTCTAAGATCTTTCTAATATTTTTCAACATTAAATCAATAAAATGTGCCACACATGAAGTCCAATATAAGTGTTGTCATTTTGTTTCAAGCAATTTACCTGAGACAAAAGATAACAAAAATGATAAGACTTAAGAGTTTAACACATTTAATTAAAGATAAAATAATTTAAAAATAAAAAAAATTAAAAGATGAATATTACCAACTAATACATAGTTGCTTCCATTATCAGTTATGATTTGGATGACATTTTGTTCTCAAATTTCTTTCACGAACTTGTTAAATAAATCATATATTTTATCTTTAGATTTTACAAAAGATGAAGTATCTATTGATTTCACAAACATAGTCCATAAAGAATAGTTAACCATAAAATTAATTATACTCCTGTGCCTCTTGTCAGTCCAAACATCTGACATAATGGAGCAACCATGTATTGTCCATGATTCTTTATGACCATTTAGTAAGTCATTTGTACAATTCAACTCTTTTTGCAATAATAAAACTCGTATCTTATAATAACTTGGAGATTTTAATCTTGCACTATATTTTCCAATAACTTCAATCATTTCCTTGAAACTGTCTAAACGAGTTATACTAAGGGGAAGACTAGCCTGATAGAAGAAGGGCGCAATGTACTGAATTGTTCTTCCTCTTATTTCTTTATCACAAGTATTACTTATATTTGTTTGTTCAAATTTTGAGCCTCTTGCTTGTCGTTATTGTTTCTGTGATCCTTGAAACATATATAGATCCAACGGTCCTTTTTTACCATTCTTAGTACTCATAACTTCTTTTCCTTTTTTTCGTATATTTTTTTTCCCACTTGGGTTAATACTCATAGAATAATCTTCTTCTTCATCCTTGAGATGTTCAATATTGTCTTCTAGTAAATTCTCGTAAGATTTGTTCTTTTGCGTCTTCTTTTCATTCATATAACTCAACAATCCTTCTTTTATCTCAGATGGACACTTTTTGCAAACTGCTGTATTCTTGAAATTTCCTACTATATATTATTTTGCACAAAAAAACCACATCTAGTAGTCCTATCGTAGAATATGCAAGTCACTACATTAGGATCTTTCGGATCCTTTAGATAATTATACTTCCATACAAGATCTTTTTTTTATGTCATTGGAGACTCTATTGAGTTGCTCTGTACACTTGTCATTTATCCTAAAACCTAACAATACTTTCAAATAAATAAATATTAATAGTATTAAAATTAAAATAATATATTATTAATCTAATAAATATAAATATTGTTACTACTATACAATTAACAGTATACTATCGAAAGAGAAGAGAAGAGTGTAAGGGAAGACTAAGGGTGCTAATTGAAGTGGGAGCAGTAGCGGCGACAATGGTAGCGGTAGTGGTAACGGTGACAGTGGCAACAACGGGAGTGGGAGCGACGAGCGGAGATAGTGGCAATAGTACCAGCGAGTAGCGACAGCGGTAGCGGGAGCGACGACAGTGGTAGCAGCAACAATAGCAACGAGCAGTGACAATAGCAACGATAACAGGGAGCAGCGGGAGCGACAAGCGGTGACAACGGGAACGACAGTGTGAACGACAAGCAAGGTTAGGGTTGGAGAAGTCGCACTGATATTGGTGCTTTAGTTGGTTCGATTGAACTAACTAAAGCACTGGAGATCGAACCAGACCTAAAACGCTATTACGATCGCTTGGTTTAACCCAGGTGCTCGCCCGAAGCGCCTAGTGCCTGGGCTCGGACGAGCGCCCAGGCGGTGCCTCTTTGAAACACACCGCCTCAAAATAAAACGCGTCACTTGAAAATGAAACAAAACGCTCGGACCTCACCTTGCCTCGTCTCGCCCGAGCACTTAAGTGAGCACCTTTTGAAATCACTGCAAGCGAGTTCATCAACAAGAGTCCAGGATTCATTCTTATCATCATTTTGGCTAAAGCCTGTCCGAGGAATATTATAATATAGAACCTGTTTTGTATTACCTTTTAATGGTACTGCACAAAGACAAATATTTTTCTAAAGATATTTTAACCATTCTGTATCGTATCACAAGATAGATTAGGTATGTGAAAACTAGAAGCAATATCTGCACAACATGAAAAATAGAGTATCAGGTTTACAGCCCACTATCAGAGTTCACTAAGTCATATCGGACACCACAGAAATCCACACTGATGAAAGAACAAGAAATGGTACTCACTTGGTAATCAGAACTGAAAACAATTACAGTTGTCCAAACAGAATCCACAAGGAAAGAATCTATATTACAGCGGGTAAATAGTTATGCAGGATACCATTACATCATATCTTTCTTCTGTCACACTGAATGGTTTATGTAGAGGACCAATTACCAGGCACAAACTGATCATTCAAGGCCAGCTAGGTTATGAATTGGTATACCAGAGCTGCTTAATGATGGCAATGAATGAGGCAAAGGTCTCTCCTTCCTCTTCTCATAATCTCTTTTGAACTCCTCCAAGCGTTTTGACACCTAGAAAAAAAAACAGAACGGTTATGGAAATCATCCAAAAAATACTAGTATTCCTAATGGAAGCACTATTCAACAATTTTACAATGAATAAATGCTTGAGTGGAAATAGTTTTGATTCTACTAGGTTGTTGAAGATTTCAAGTGAGATTGCACTGTAATACTTATAAAGTCTGTTACTTTCAAATGAGAATAACAAATCACCTACTTTAAGGAAAAAACACATCCTCCATGAAATAGGATGCAAATGTTCTAGCTGAGTTTAACCGTGAAAGTATGAGCATCTAATTTTAGAATCCATAAGGTTCAATCCATCATATTACAAGCATAGAAAGAACAGACATAAAAGAATAAATACAACAGCAGGAGAATAAAACTAATCATCACCTTGATTGAGAAGGCAAGTGGCAATAGTTTATCTGGATTCATCGCTTCCGCAGGAAAATTTTTCAGGGCATGCAGTAGTTTCTCAAAGGGTAATTTTATCTAAAATTGTAAATTGGTGGTATCAATAACTTGAAAGTTGTAAAGCATACCACTGAGATAAAATTTACCACATTTCTTACCAAGTCATCGTGGCAGAATCTTAGCAAGGCCAAGCCAACTTGGAAAACAACTTTTACACCCTGTTCAAAAATAAATTTTACAACCATAGATGATAAAAAAAATTGACTTAGATGCACTAAGTCAAGTTTACTATATAATGTGATGCTTTCCAAGAAAAAAATAATAGACTACTTAGAAGGCTATTGTGGTGGGTCAATCAATAAGACCTACTGTTTGTCAAAATTATCCATAATAAGTGTAGAAATATTTCAAAGTTTTCAGTTAAAATAATCAATTTTGGACAACCTTGAGCACAAAAAATATACGCACTAAATATATGTGAGAAGAATCGATAATAAATGAATACGAACTCAGAAGATATTTTATCCAAAAGCTATTACTAAAAATACCATCAGGATGCTTCACATGTAGGAAGAATCCAGACACTAAGAAAACATATCATCTCTTAGATGCATAGATATCCAAACTATCTTTGTGAACATTAATTTAGTACATAGACACCCAAACAATTGCAAATCGTTAGACCAAAATTCTATAAACATGATCTAAACAAAGGAAAGAAATCAGATTACTACCTCATAGAGAAAGACATCCCAGATACGAAGTGCAAGTGGAAATGGGAATGAGTACGAAAAAACTGTTATGAACCATTGACTAGCATACATGCTGGGATTAACCATCTCTTGAGTAAAATGTTCTCCCAACATTGGCAAATATTCTTTCACCAATTGCTCAAATTGACATAGGTATTCTTGAACAAGTGGCAAGCCTGCCTACTCAACAAGCAAAAGTTAAAAACATAAAGTAAGCATCAATTTAACTAAGAATGCCATAATATATGCTTCTATGTTCTAACTAAAACAGAAGAGCTCCATTCAACATCTTATTGTAACAAAATCATATCAGAACTACTTCAAAAATTCCCTACAGAATAATTATATGAATCCATCACCATATATTATTTGCACCCACAGAAGCAAAAGGATTGTACATTCAATATCTGAGCAAGAATTTGTTACTCAGCTTTTGTAAGAGCATATAGCAAATAGGATACCGTTCCAAGAACAACAATAAAAAGAGAGAGGGTCATATGTGTCCAAGATTTATAAAAGTGATGGTACGGTTTTTCCACTTTTTAACTGGAGATGATAACATTTTCTTTACACTGAAACCACAGAAACATCTCACATTCAAAAACCACACATTAAGTTGACAACTCAAAGAAATGCTTATGTTAAATTGAACACAGCTAGTGGGAACTTATACAGCTCATAAATACTATGCTATAGGGAGTAGGGACAAGAAATAACATTTACCTTAACCCCATATAGAATCTTTCTAAAAGCCAACTTTAATAAGCAAAAATTCAGCTAATAAGATTTCTTGGTGTATTATTACCTATCATGTATGTTTGGCCTCACGTATCCTCCCAATCTCACTTTTAAGCAAGGATTGCAATTTCGAACCAGGATACTGATAAGACTCTAAAGTCTTATCGTCGCTCTGATACCAAATGATAAGATCCTAAAGTCTTATCGTAGGCTCTGATACCAAATGATAAGACCCTAAAGTCTTATCGTCGAAGAAAGGGGAGAAATGGGGATGATAATGATCACTTCGAGGGGATCGGCCTCCTTGATCGCTTCGAGGGGATCGGCCCTCCTTGATCACTTCGAGGGGATCGGCCTCCTAGGGTTTGTCAAAAGACAGAACAGTATTTTTCATTGATTACTGAAAAGAAGTGGTTACATCTCTATTTATAGAGTTTCACCCAAAGTCCATCAGGACTTGAACTCTAATAATAAATAAATATTAAATAAACCTCTACTTGATTCTAACTGAACCAAACCGACTCAATAAACAACTGGACTAAACAGACTCAATAAATATTATTCAAAAGCTCAGAAAAAGAGTCCTAACAGTTCCTCCCTCTTCAAATCAGCCTTGTCCTCAAGGCTGAGCAGCATCAATCTCGGGGAGCATCTCTTTCAGCACTTTAGCCATAGACTATCTGCAACGCATCACAACCCGTTGATCAAGTAAGTATGGTCTCCACTTTTTGATAGTGTAAGCAACAGGTCGGTCTTTAAGTGTAGTAATCGTTGCATGAAACTTTTGGCCCTGTATAATCAATTTTATCTTTGAACCTTTGCTATCACAAGTGAAAATCCATCCATTAATGATCTTTACTTCGAATCTGTCGTAGTCTTCAATGTTGTGGGCCAATCGGTCAACAGTTTCACTGTCCATAAAATTGTTAGTGCTACCAGTATCAAGCAAAACTATAATAGGCTGATGCTCTAGAGTTTCGGCAACTTCCATAGTTTGCAGGTTAGAGTAGTCGGCTAATGTATGCATTGTATGTACGATAGGTTCAACGTCTTCATTAGAATTTATACCTTCATGATCGGAGTCCACGTTCTTAGCTTTCAGCTCCTCTCCAATTGGTTCAATCATCAGAAGTTGCCCTTGTTTACATCGGTGCTCCATACTCCATTTTTCATCATAGTACAAACCCCTTGCTGATCTTTCCTTGCTAATTTTTTTCTCATGTAGATTTGCAAATGAGATCGCAGCTATCAAAGTGCGGGGTTGACGAGCCTTAACTTCACACCGGATCTCTGGAATATGCCCTTCAATAAATGTATCCAGAAGTTGTCGGTCCGACCAATCTCTAGCTTGATTTGATAATCTTTCAAACCTATTATGATATTCTAACACTGTAGAAGTCTGACGAATTTTGGT